CCAACTACCGCGGCACCGTACGTGGATGCCATTTGACGCTTGCATCGTCAATACAACGGAACGATACTCGTAGGGTCTCGTGCTGAGTGCGGAGAAAGGCCTTGTCGTCGTCGACCGCAACACGGTCTCGGACCGCCTCGGCGATGTCATGGTGACGTTCGCCAACACGCTCGTCGTCCCCGGCAAGGTCCGCTTCGTGCATCCGGTGCACAACTTCGCGATCGTCCAGTACAACCCGAGCCTCATTGGAGACACGCCCGTGCAGTCGGCGACGGTCTCGCGCACGCCGCTGCAGCCGTCCGACCCGGTCTGGCTCGTCGGGCTCATGAGCGGCGTACGTTGTGCATTCTTCTGATCGATTGAATCGTTGAAACGTTGATACACACACGCACTGTGTAGATTGGCCGGAGCTCGTGGTCGGAGCTTGTGTCGCGCGAGACCCTTGTCTCGAGTGTCAAGTGGATTGCATTGCCGATGCCCAACCCGCCACGGTACCAAGAGCACAACCTCGAGATGGTCGCGCTCCAAGACGTTGTCAACACGGAAGGCGGCGCGGTGTGCACGCCGTCGGGCGCCGTCGCCGCGTTCTGGGCGTCGTTTTCGTTTCAGCAGCAGCGCGGGCCGACCAAAGTCGAGTCGCAGTTCACGCGGGGCATTCCCATGGACATCATCCTCGACAGCGTCGAGCCGCTCTTGCACGGCGAAGCGTCGCCCAAGCTCTTTGACCTCGGCGTGGATTTCGAGCACATTAGCCTCGCCAAAGGCCGCGAACTCGGCATGGACGAAGCGACGGCGAAAGCACTCGAGGCACACGCGCCCGCGCGCCGCACGATCTTATCGGTGGGCCGGCGCTGGGGCGGCACCGACGCCTCGGCCGTATTGCGCAATGGTGATGTGCTTGTCGCGATCGATGACCGCGTCGTCACGTCGTTCCGCGAAGTCGAGGTCCAACGAGCGTACTCGTACGACGCGTTACTGACAAGATCGTAGATCGCAACCCAGAAGGAGTCGGTGCGAGCCACGATCGTGCGCCAGGGCACGCGCATGGACGTGACACTCAAGACGGTGCACCTCGAGAGCTGGGAAGTCGATCGCATCGTATTTTGGCAAGGCCTCCTCCTCCAAGTCCCGCCGCTCTCGGTCGCGTCGCAGCGCGAAATCTCGTCCCGTGACGGCGTCTATGTTTCGTGCCGG